GAGCGTCCTCATAGAATCAGGAAGGGAATGAAGATGCAATGCCAAAATATTGAGCCTAGTAGCAAAGTCACAGCTTAAGTTTGGTCAAAATCACCAAACAAAGTTTGGTCTGACAAGGATAGTCCCTATGCTTATACATTCTATGTTCATAGTGTGACTTATTGTTAGAAGAACCGTATGGAAAATTGGTGTGCAGGATTTCCACAAAGAAGTTCTCAAAATTTTGCATTTTAATTATTACTTAATTCCCTGCAATTCACTCAGTTCTTGAGCTCTAGGAAATCTTTATGCATCATTGTGCTTCTCAGCTTGAACATTACTTGGTGTATTTACCTTAACAAGAAATTTTAGGATATTTCAAGAATAAGACTCCCTATTCATGAAGTTTGGTAAAATCCTACATTAAACTCTACAGCAAGGTTTTTATTCTTCGAGGGAAATCATTTTTGAAATTGAATGAGCTGTTTTATGGATATGAATAGTTTGAATTTTGTTTCTTTCTCCATATTGAGGATTTCTTATTCTGTTATTGGGCATTTCAAGCTTCTGTCAGGTGCACTTGATGAGTCTGCCAGACAGAGTATTTATAGACACTGCTGGTTCCTCTTTACTAACCCATTAGCAGTAAAAACCAAAAGGTAAGTGAAAAAAGCTGCTAAAATATGATACCTTTGGGAGCTTTGGAAGTCTTCGACTTTCATTGCTTTCTATTATCTCTTTCACTTTCTTTAAAAGACAGTCAAATCCCAGGTCTCTGGGATCCAATATTGAGAGGAAATTTTGGGAGCATTTCTCCAGTACCACTGAAGCATTAACCGAGTCTGGTTCAGATGCTTCACTCAGCAACCTGCTCTTAATGAATTGCATGAGAGCAGTAGTTCCTTTTCCGAGAACTATTTTCCTTTTCTTTTCACCTTTCTTATCTGTTTTTGTATTATTTTCACTTGAAGGCACCCTCTCGGCCCCATTGTTGACTTGGCTTTTCTTGACCAGGTCACTTCCCTCAAGTGAAATGAATGCAGCTGTGGCCTCCCAAGAGACAATCTTTCTCAACAAGTCTGATAAGCCATAAATTTCGTGCAAAAACAATACATAATCCTTCTTGGAAAGAGCAACTTGCGCAGACATGTACAACTTTTCCAGAGAATCAACACGTGGACAGTTGGCATCCAGCATTTTCACCATACAAGAACTCAATTCACCACCAGATATTGAGTTGCCAACTAGCTTGGCTCGTTGAAAACTGAGAGCCCCCAAATTCCAGAGAGCCCCAGCCAATGATAACAGAACAGGGGACATGGCATCTGCAGTGCCAGAAGGGCAAGCTCTGGAACCTGAATTTAACTGAACTCGAGATCTGGAATGGAGCCATCGAACACTTTCCCTGAAACTACCATGGGCGCTGGTAATCTTGGCCACAGCAGGATCCACAGGATTCTTGCTTGAGTTAACCAATTTAGACCCATTGAGAAACACCTTCAAGTCAGATGCAACAGCCACATCATCCTTGGAAGAAGAACCATCACCAGAGTCAATCAAATTGAAACAAGACGTGTCAGCTCTCAGGGCCTCACAGGAAAGGGCAGCCACTGCATCAGCAACAGCCGACAAGGCAGAAGACCGGTGATCAAGAATCGCAGAAATGCCATCAATAGCAGCCATTGAATAATCCAAGAGAGCCACGTCATCAATGGGCACATTGTCAATTGTATAATTAGGACTAAGGGACGTTTCCTTGAGTATATGCTGCAACTGAAATGCTGCCGGAGACAAAGAAAGCAGAAGCTTATTTAGGAGCAGAAGTAGTGAAGCCCTAGCCTCTTCGGCGCTCAAATAGTTAGGAACTGATAATGCAAACTTGGTGGTCGTAACGGATTTCGAATTGGAAGAGGATGAGATCCTTGAAAGAGCTGATGATTCAATGTTAAAACGAGCTAGGCCATTAGCCACTTCAAATAGCGAAGAGGACGTCAGTGAATAGCCCTTCCCACCCACTGTTACCACTCTCCTTTCGGCTGCCATAGCTACCTCAGCAAGAGTTCTTCCCCCGGTTTCACCAAAAAGCACAATCAATACAACGATAAACGGAAAACCAAAAGAAAAAAAGAAAAGCAACAATTTTAAATTAATACGCATGGCCCAGTCTACGTGCTCAAGCTTTTAAAACAGTAACATGTATCAAAGCTGTGCAAAATAACTGAATTCAAGTTTATCCAGTAAAAGATAAACTACCTGTTACAGGTTGCCGAGTCGCCGATAGGTCCTCCGCCGCCGCCGCCGC